TCGCTCATATACCTGCAGGAGCTTGGTACATCTCAAAGCTGAACTTGGACCATTCGCAGTGCTGTACCAGTTCGCCAGATTTACATGGCCGTCAACTTCAAGAGCTCGCTGGATTTAATGCTACAATTGTTGATGGACATAGTACTGCTTTGGCTCGAGTTGTCAACAGTGTTAGGGCGATTGAAGGTATCAATCTTCAAAACAAACCAGCCGTCGTATACCGAGCCATAGGCAAAGCTAAAGCCCGACTCACAATTAGTCCAGAGGTCGAATACGGTCAGCTGCCGGGGGATTTGACCGCCTTTGCTTCGGTTAACCCCGGTTCTCGAGTGTGCCTTCAGTTGGACTCAAAGGATAGATTTTATCGACTGTTCCTATCAATTGGAAGCGTTGTGGCTATTCAGGATGCGCTGCTGCCAGTGTGGGAAGTGGACGGTACGCACATGAAGCACCCACAATACAATGGTGTATGTTTAACGCTTCTTGGCAAGGACGGAGACAAGAGAACGATTCCAGTGGCTGTCGCTTATGTTCACAAAGAGACTATTGATACCTTTGCATGGTTCTTTTCCAACTGTGTCCTAGCTGGCATTCATCTCGATGATCGGAGCACCTTTACAGATAGAGGGAAGCAGCTAGGAGCTCAACAGTTCTTGGCGCAATGGGGCATAAAGGTACACCTCAAGTTTTGTTCTCTCCATCTACGATTCAACACGATGGATAAATTCAAGTCATTGAGCTTGGATGAGTCGAAGGTCAACGAAGACATCTTTCGTTTACAATCTTCACACTCCACCACTTCGTTTGATGGTTCAATCAACCGTATGGAAATTCGATATCCTCAAACGATCACTAAAGAGGTTGGAAGCAACATTGTCCATGAGCCCATGTCGACCTACTTGCTTGGTATCCATCCGACGAGTTGGACTGGTATCGGCAACATGAAACCGTCCAGTGACGAACAGAAGTGGCTGAAGACTTTGTGGAAGGGAGTTGAAGCCTATGGCGACGCCATGCCTCTCTTCGGCATTCGTACAACAAGTGGTGTGGAGGGAGCCAACAATGGACTGCTATGGGGTGGTGTCCGAAGCCAACGCGTGTACAATTCTTTACGAGCGTTTTGCCTCCGTGCGGTAGATGTCTGCACGAAGCGATTGGCTTTAGCAGCGAAATGGAAAGCAGACGGCTTTGAATTGACCCCACACGCAATGAACCTAATGAAGCAAGAACAACGCGGCGTCGGCAAGCTGACTGTGATGCCTACGGGCAATTTGCATCTTTCTCGTCTTTGATGCATTTGATGCATCGGCGATGGTTGGCAACGTCAAGTTGTACGAAGTCAACATGTCTTCTGGCCAGTGCTCGCGATGTGTGGCTTTTGAGCAGCTTCGGATCCCGTGCCGTCATATTCAAGCTGTAATATACCGACTTGCATCCGACAATAAGGGGATGCAATTGCTGTACAGACCTCTGCAATACTTTCATGGCGCATATGCGGTTGACGTGCTGCACACTGCGATGTCAACCGTTTCGATACGCATACCGACCGAGGCTTCAGTGGAGACGTGCGAGACGATAAGGCCTCCGCCTCAATATCGGCAAGCTGGAACTTCCCTGAAGCGGAAAACACAAAAAGCTGATCACGCTCGCGGCTCAAAGCGAACACGTAACAAAGGAGAAGGTAGGATCAAAATCTCGGGCCCTCGCAAGCGCAATTCATCGGCAGCGCAGTCTGACCTCGATGTCAACGCTGAGGGGGCCTCAGAGCACACTGATACCGTAGAAGCAGAAGTCGGAGATGGAGATGGGGGCTCTGATATTGCAGCCTTCTTTGATACACAACTAAGTGCACCAACAGTGAAAGAGCGACGGCTGTATCGCTGCGGCCAATGCAACAATACCGGTCACAACACGAAAACATGCACGAACGCGAATCAGGAACATGAAGAAGCTGGAATCCCAATCGTACCCGGGAAATATCTTGTTGGAGATTGTCCTTTTTCCATCTGCGGAATACAGAGTGGATATGAAAAAGCAGTTGAAGATTAGATTTCCTCAGATTCATTTTAATGTATTCCAAAAGTTAATGCAAGGACACGAACCATTGTGTCCAGTGGAGGGAGTCGTCAATAAGTTTTTCAAGCTTCCTCGTTCACGTTTCAATAGAAGCTGCCAAAGCATAGGATGTACCATCTTCGATAATCCTAAGGAACGTATAACAACACGGAGTATTGTGAGGGGCCGGCAACCAGTGTGAATAATATTAGAAAATACCTTGAGGTGCTGTGTGCTGTCGTCGATGCGAGCTCAATACAATCAAAACAAATATTGAAAGACAGGCGTTAAAATATACTCCATTCACATTGCTTCGTGTTTACTTACGCGTGTAGTAAATACGCCGATCATCATCTCCAATAGCCGGCCACTCAGCGCACCTCCCTCGGTTTAAACAGCCCTGGGCCTTGTTACCACACCGCGCACTGCCAACTCCCTTGGTGGTAGCGGTGGCTTGGAATAACCAGCTCTTGGAGAATCGTAGAGTGATAGAACGATGGTTTTCTCTGTTGAACCGTTCCCAGGAACCTTTCTCACATTGAAGCAACTAGACCCAACATCACTAACTACCAATCACATCAGTTGTGGTCCTTGGTGATAAATTCTCGCGTTAATGTGGTCCCTAGAGATAAATATCCGCCTATTACTCACTTTGTGTTTGTAAACCTGACTTAGTTTTGTATTGCTGACTTGGTTTTTGTTTGAAAAACCGGTACAAATACGGTTTGTGACATCTAATCCACACTGCGAACTGCTAGCCCGGGCCGCCGTCCCGGGGGATCACAGTTCGTAGGACTGTGAGGTATGCTGCGTTAAGTTAAGTTGCGTTAAGTTTAATCAGTGCTATGAATTCACCAAGTTTTCGCGACTGCAGTACTTTTCCACTTATTATTTTTGGGGTAACTTGGTTGAACCATTGTCGAACTCGTAGAGTAGCAAATTCACAAATGATCACTTGGGAGGCCTACTGCGCAGCCAAGGCTCGTCTCGACTTGGTGTCCCCTATAAAAAAAGGAGACAGCACATCCCATCATCGACTTAGTATGATACACACGACTCGTCTTGGCGGGCGACTTCAGTACCTGCATGCCTCCAATTCTCTGGGACTGCGGGCTGCTTCAGTATCTGCATACCTCGGCTCCCCTGGCACTTTAAGGTCGCGTCCATGCTCGCAAGGTGACGTTGTCGCGGTCTTCATCGGAGTTCTCAACGCATACGAAGGGTCAGCAACCTTCTAGCTTGCTTAACACCTTTACTTATTGTGCCTTTCTGCCAAAACGCCCTCAGTTTTATGGTCCTACGTAGGAGGGTGGCCCTTACGGAAGACTTCCTATCTGATCGGGTGCTTCCGACTAAAATTTAGCCTAACCCTTTGACGAATAAAAAAAGACGATGCGCTTGTTTACAAACCGAATCTTGTCCT